TAGCCAAGAGAAAGGAAGTTAAATGCTGGCAGGAGGGAAGGCCTGGATGTAAAACCATGTTTTTAGTTGAGTTTTAAATGTACCCAGCATAGGGGCCGCGCAAATCTCAGGAGGGAGACTGTTCCAAAGGCGAGGAGCCACTGCCGAGAAGGCCCGGTTTTGAGTCTTTTCCCTCCGGCCCTCCCTCGGCGTCAAGGCTCCTCAGCCTCACCTCCTGGCTTGCGCGGGTGGTCCGGGTAGATCTTGGTGAGAGCAGGTGTTCCACCAGGTATCGAGGTCCCAAACCGTTTAGGGCCTTATAAGAAAGCATTAAAACTTTTAAATCGATGCGGAAATGAATGGGCAGCCAATGCAGTCTGGCCAGGGTAGGAGAAATGTGCTGGTATTTACTCACTCCAGTAAGGAGCCTGGCCACTGCATTCTGCACCATCTGAAGTTTCCGCATCAACCTCAAAGGCAGCCCCACGTAGAGCGCGTTGCAGTGGTCTAATCTTGAGATTACGAGCGCGTGCACCAAGGTAGTGAGCACCCCCGTGTCAAGGTAGGGCCGCAGCCGGGCAATCCGCCAAAGATGGAAAAAGACGGAGCGGACAACCGATGCCACCTGCATTTCCATGGTAAGCGTCGGGTCCAGATGTACGCCCAAGCTGCAGACCCCACTCACCGGAGCCGGGCCACTCCCCCAAACGAGAGCCACCCAAGCCGCCAGCCACGGGGCCCCCCACCCTCAGAACTTCAGCCTTGTCCGGGTTCAGCCTCAGCCCGTTCTCCTGCATCCATTCCAGTACAGTCCCCAGGCAGCGCTGGAGGGACAGGATGGCATCACCTGCAGTTGGTAAAAAGGAGATGTAGAGCTGGGTGTCATCAGCATACTGGTGACACGATGCTCCACACCCCCTGATGACGCCAGCTAGCGGCCTCATATAGATGTTGAACAGCACTGGGGAGATAATCGACCCCTGTGGAACCCCACAGTTGGAACTCCACGGGGCCAAGACATTCTCCCCAAGCTGAACTCTCTGGGGGCGGTCCTCCAAGAAGGAACAGAGCCAGGCTAACACCAAGCCACCAATTCCCAACTCGGAGAGCCTCCCCAGGAGGATACCGTGGTTGACGGTATCAAAGGCCGCCGAGATGTCGAGGAGGACCAACAGAGAAGTTTTGCCCGTCAGCCTCCCTCAACAAGTCATCATACAGGGCGACCAATGCCGTCTCTGTACCGTGTTGCGGCCTGAAACCCGACTGGAATGGATCCAGGGCATCTGTTTCATCCAAGTGTGCCTGAAGCTGATCTGCCACCACCCTCTCCACCACTTTGCTCATGAAAGAAACGTTGGCGACGGGCCTATAATTGCCAATTTCGTCAGCCGCCAAACTAGGTTTCTTTCTTATGCGCCTAATGAGTGTCTTCTTGAGGGCAGGTGGAAACTTACACAATGGTACCAAATTCATCCTTATCATCCTTACTCCCAAAACAAAACAAAACAAAACAAAAGTGCTAGTTAAGCTACAACTGTCAGCTAAGAAAAAGAAACTTCTCTCCATGCTAACTCAATTACCCAGCTTTCACATAGGTCACTATCAGCAGTCTGGGGTGAAAGTGCAAAGTGAGAAGGCAGGAGTCTGGCTTTTGAAAATGGTGACCAGGATTTGGAAATACAGGCTCTGCAATGCATCATTCCACACTGAACCTGCATCATAAAATTGGTGTGCTACCATAATTGAGACACTTTCACAGATTACTTGCCTTCCATTACATCTTTTTCAGCAATCTGAGCAGCTTCCATTTGACTAATAGTCTGCTGCCTACGCATAGCAGTCTTCTTGAATTTATTCACCATGCATTCCTAGAATACAAGTTCACATAGAGGAAATAAAAGATAATCATTTATCTCAAATTCACCTCCTATACTCTAAAGTGATCAGACTAATATGTGCAGAATCAAAGAACTATGGGGGGGGGGGCAACCTGTACCGTTTGTTGTTAAAAGGTAAAGGTTCCCCTTGACATTTTTAGTCCAGTCGTGTCCGACTCTAGGGGGCGGTGCTCATCCCGTTTTCAAGCCGTAGAGCCAGCGTTTGTCCGAAGAGTTTCCATTGTCACGTGGCCAGCATAACTAAGGAACACAGTTTTACCTTCCCACCGAGGTGGTACCTATTTACCTACTCGCATTTTTACATGCTTTCGAACTGCTAGGTTGGCAAGGAGCTGGGACAAAGTGACGGGAGCTCACTCCATCACGTGGATTCGATCTCACGACTGCTGTTCTTCTGACCCTGCAGCACAGGCTTCTGCGGTCTAGCCCTCAGCACCACCACGTCCCTTTCTGTTGTTACCACATTGCAATTCCTGCTATCCATCAACACTTGGTATACTGGCTATGCTAAGAAGATTTGCAGCTCAACAACTGAAGGATAAAACGTTGCCTTCAGCAAAATATGCCCACCATAGGATAGACTTTTCTTCCGGAATGGCAGAGTGCCATTATACTTTCGTTCCACCAACTTATCTCACAGACTGTAATCCAAACTATTTTTATAACTGATAAATATTTAAAGAGCACTCTGCAATGGAGAAAAGGAATACCTCATTCAATGTTCCAAGAAGTCAAGAAATCCACTAATCAAGAGTAACCACCCCACCAAACTTAACCAGCTTTATGAATCCCAGCTTTTATGGACACTCCTGGTCATAGCCAAGCAAAACAGGCAAGTGAACATTTTTGAACACTGACTTTCTTTTTTGAGAAGACAGAGAGAGAGAGAGAGATAGAGAGACAGAGAGACAGAGAGAGCAAGCATAAGACAGAGAGACAGAGAGAGAGAGAGAGCAAGCATGCATCTGTGTTAGAAGGGTTGGGGGTCTGGAGTCCATATCAGGAAACCAAACTTCAGCCCCAGTGAAACATACCTTGCAAATATGCAATACACTCCATAATATAATATAAAATATAATAATAATATAATATAAAAATAAATATCTTCTTAGTATATATTAATGATATCCTTACTTACAAAAAATCTGCATTGCTTTTACTTTTTCCAATTTGTGCTGTTCTTTGTTCAGTTTCTACCTCTGACTATTAAGACCACCGTGATGTGTTTTTTTAAATCAATATTTAACCAGTAACAGGATTTAGAAAACACAGCTACTTACATGCAGAAACTCCATCACAACTTTGTCAAACTTTGTTTGTTTCTGAATATGATCTAATGTTTCCTGATGAACAGGACTTTCCAGATGCGCTTCAATGTCTTTTTCTTCAAACGTTCGAAACTTACAGAATGAACAGGTGAATGCCATTCTAGTAGGAGATACAGGCACATTACATAGATATTATCATATTTGTTTAAATCCTCAAATTCCTAAAGCTTTTTCATTAACATCAACAGTTCAGTTTCAAAACTCTATATGCTAATACAAATAGAAACAGTTCTGATGAAGTAATTCAAGTATAGGCTCATGGTATTGACATCTCAGATTAAGTGCAATTTTTTTTTCCACATATAGAAAGCAAGTCCCACAGAATTCCAGGGCCCTACATTTAAGTAAATTTGTTCTGGTTTGCACTGCAAAACTGGGTGCCAAAGACCTTAACAATCAGTTTCATGACTCTGCAAGTCACAGAAACCATTTCTCTGAAATAGTTCGGCATTTCTCAAAGGACAGTACTAAGAAAAAAGGTAAGTTTCAAAGCATTTTGAGATAACGATGTAGGGCCTGCTATTCTAAGTTTGCAATGTGTCCATTAACTACAACTAAAACTCTTTATTATCTTTGACTACTAATATGTGACCTATTTATTTCCTGTAAGGAAAGCATTTTCCAAAGCAGTATTAGAATACAGCAAAGGATTAACTAGTGATAAAACATCAAAATTGTCGTTGCTAGTTTTAGAAGAGCTATTTATAGAACAACAACTAATTCAGTAACGTATTACAAATAGAGCTTTGAAAAATAACCTTATGGCATCTTAAAATTCATTACTGTGGCACAAGATTTTGTGGACTAGAGCACTTCAAATGCAGCTTTGTTTTCATGGACTTATGCCCACAAAAACTCACGTCACAATATAGTAGTTACTGTGTAAGATGACATAAATCTTTTGATGTAGACACATAGCTATATTTTTTAACATCTGGAGTAAAGAAGCAGAAGACGTCACCTGCACAGAAATCTCAATGCAATAGAAACCTACAACATTAATGTAATAGATTGACCCAAGATCCTTAGTCACTTTACACTATAAGGAAAGGAAAACAATCTGTGTTTCTCATCTTTAGTTTGGGCTTAATTTGGGAATATGTTATCAGAACACACACAAAATGCCTAAAAAGATTATCAAAAGCTTATATGGAATTGGACAACTATTCAATAACATTTTTCTTACTGAATGACATTTTCATGCCAAACATTAAACTTGTCATAAAAATAATATTTTGTATTTGTATATAGTATTTCAAATGTTAGAGTGTCTCAACATATCTGTCTCATTGACTTTTAAAATAGCAGTGCAAAGTAGGGTTATTTCTCCATCCGGCAGACAGGAGACTGTATTCACAGCTTTTAAGGCTGCAATTAACTTGTAGTCAAGGTAAGAGCTGAATTATTACATTCTTTATGCATAACTCATTTTTGCTCACTACACCAGTTCACAAAATTGAAGAAATTATACAACTGTATACAACAAAACTAAGCACATCATTCTCTTCACTGAAGTACTGAAATGCCAATCAGCTACAAGATTCCTTAACACAGTGTATAGGCATTCTGTTCTTGCAGCGAATTCTTTGGACATTTCTGACTGCTGAGGATATAATGGCTTATAGTGCCCCATGAAACACAGAGCTGTGACCACGTTCCCAATGTACAGCACAATGTCTGCATGACACTGGGATTCAGAAAGAAGACACTACAGAGCAGGCAAAGAAAAGGGAGCTTAAGGGAGAGACTCCTGCCATTTACATGCTTATGAATGGTAGCTGGGAACAAATTCATGACATTTTCACCACAAACCTGTAACCATCACCATACTTTTCACTGTTTTTCTCCCTCCTACGCCTTTGTTTCTCTCGTCTTGCCTCAATACGACGTTTTTCTTCTTCTTCATTTTTCACTTCTGGTTTGACACCTAAAAACAATTAAGAGCTGAATGAATATCTGAGTTCTAGACTGCACCTAGGGGGAAATGTGAAGTTCAGTTTATCCTATAACTCCCTTTCAAACATTATTTATAGTCTCATGAGGAGGAATACAATCAATGGTTAGTTTAATTAAAGGAAAAGGCAGTATCTAAACATTTCAGCACAATCTCTAAGGGTTATGCTGACAAAAGTTAAATCCAGAGTTAAGGCCAGCCTAACCCCATTGTGCCTACATACTAGCAACACTAAGTTAGAATACAGAATGATGTGTAGAACTAAGATTTCAAATTTATTGCTGCATCAAATTTGTGGTTTTATTGTGAAGACAGCTCACAAAATAGAAGGCTTGAAAAAGAAAAAACATGCATTTCTAAAATTCTGAAAAATAGAAAGATCAATTTTTATGCTATGTATACCAGCACCAATTATAGGTTTCTTGATCTTTCCCCCAAATGTCTGACAATCATGGGTTTTAATATAAATATCAAAATTTGAGAATGTTCCTTATTCTTTCAACATTATGGCTGCATACTTGAAGAAAGAAACTTCAAAAATCTTGTTCCAAATGAGATGTTATGGATTCCCTCCTTTCCTAAGCAGGTAGGCTTTAAATTCCTAATCTAAATGGACATGAGATGATTAAATGCCAACTGGGCCATGATTCTCAAGCAGCCAACAGATGTTCTCTCTTTGAATCATGCCCGCTTTATTAAGATAGGTAAAAGTGATAAAAACAGGTATTGATCAGCTATCAAATTTCTGTTAGGCAAGAATTTGCCTAACAGATTTAGATTTTGCAGATGATATCACACTGCTTGGTGAAACAAGAGCATACCTGCAAGGAATGACCACCAGCCTAGACAGTAAAGCCAACAAGATTGGCCTATGTATAAATACTAAACATATTAAGTTTATGCAGATTGGAGGAGTCCAAGATAGCATGCCTATAAATGCCCGCAGCAAGGCTATAGAGCAAGTTCAGCAATTCACTTATCTTGGCAGCATTATGTCTACTGACGGAGACACACACAAGGACATCAACTGCAAATTTCAATGGCATTAGCTGTATTTCAACACATGCACTCAGTTTGGTCAACAACAGTCATAAGTATCATCAGAAAGATAAAACTCTGTAAGAGTATTGCTATACCTACTGCAATATATGCCAGTGAAACTTGGAAAAGCACAGCCAATACAACTAAAAAATTAAATGTCTTCCAACAATGTTGCCTTAGAAAAATCCTCGTATCACTAATGAAGAAATACTAAAAAGATCAGACACAAAACATCTGTCAACAACTGTGAAAGGATGTTGAATGCAACTTGCCAGCCACATTCTACATATGTCTAAAGACTGGCACCTGAAAACTGCACTACAGTGGATACCTCCTTGAGTAAAAAGAAAAAAGGCTGGTCTTGAAAAACGTGGCATCAAACACTCAAGGAAGATCTCAAAACCATTAATGTTCCTTGGGACGATGCCAAAAAGCTGCAAATGATCGGGTTCCTTGGAAAACACTTGCTGCCCAATGTGCTCTGCATAGGACTTGATGATGATCAAATTTCTGATCACTAAATTGCATCCAATATACGAACAGTAAACAGAACAGTTTGCAATTACTTTAGGAGGTGACAGTCCATAGTAATAGAGTAGACCTCTAATCCAAGGGTGGGCAAAAGGTAAATCTGGATCTGGCAGTAGATTTTTTGCAATGATTTCTTACTGCCAAATGCTGATCAACCACAGTAAAACACAACAGTTAATGCAAAAGTATATAGCTCTGATAAGTTCTGGTTCTAAAAACAAATTCCTCAGTCCAGAATTCTTCAAATCTGAGAATACACCTTTGCACTGAGCTCTTTATATTTATAAATAAGTAAATATTTATTTAACTAAATATATATATAATGTAAATTATTTGCATGCATACATGCACCTATGCATACAGCACAGGTACCCTACTGAAGAGATGGAAAACTATTAGACCACAAGCCAGATGTAACCTATGGCATATTTAGATTTAGACCATAGCCTCCTGTTCCATGGATTAAACTCCCACATGGCAGCTAAGTTTTCATTTCTCTAATAGGATCTTTTGCTCCAAGTTGAATTGCTGCAAGGAGTATGTGTGTGAATTTTCAAGGTAAAGAAACCACAGAGAAAGAAAACTCATGACCCACTGACAGACAGCTCTGCTCCCAACTATCTTTAACTGCTGCAAAAGCTGTATCTGGATTCTGCAGGGAAAGAGAGGTTGCATCTTGTCTCATAAGATCAGGAGATAACTAACCTAACACAGTCCAGCAGAATGGAAGATCTAGTTCTAATATGATCTTGGGACTCCTACTTTCAGGCCTAATTCTTTATCTATCTGAATGGCTAGATGAAAGAATTTCTTCAAGGTGCTATTAACTGATGAATCCAAATATATTAAGCACACTTAAAATAATCTGATTTTTTTTGTTTGAGTGACAAACGAAAATAATACTCAGTTTGTTAGTGAGAGCAGAACAAAAACAGTGCATAATCATCTAATAAAATTCTTATTAAACAGTATGAAACACCCAGTTTTTCAAGACAAGGTATTCCAAACAATTTGTATTAAAATCTCAACATTCCTTATATTATGCAGACTGTCTACAACAAGAGCACATCAGGGAAAGAAGTTTAGGACAACACTTCACCCTTTGTGTTAAATTTTCTTGCTATTTTCAGGGGTCTGAAATCATGGATTAGTATGTGAAACGTTCGTCTCCTAGAAACAGATGTTTACCTGTTTTAATAAGCAGATAGGCGGGGTATAAATCAAATCAAATCAATCAATAAATAAAATAAACATGACAAGCTTATGAGGAAAAACAGCTTGGAAATTATCTATTTAAAATCAACTAATAATGGAATATTCAGTAACTACAAAACATAAGGAAGTTCAATGCCAGAAAAGTCACTTAAATAATGCCACTGATGTTACTTGAAACAAAAAAAAGCAAAACTAAATGTCAGCAGCCAATCAGAGCATTCATGAGGCGGGGGCAGGAAATATGAATCTGTAAAAGGGATGAAACCAGTGAAGAGCACTCTTTGAACGATTCTTGTGCTGAGCTGTTGTTGCCCTCCATACTGAATTGCTGCAGAATTTATGACTGTGCCAGAATGTCCCTAGGTTGTAGGGGTAGGTGTTGGTGTTAGCTAATTTAACTAGAAGTGGACTCACTTTAGTACCACAGTGGGCCAGGGCAGGGGGGGGGGGAGAACAAAGCTAATATTTCTGTGTGCAATTCTTAATTCCTTTATTCTTTAGATCCCTGGTGGTTGTCTGGCAGGCAAGCAGGCACCGCACTGCTTGATTAAATGGCTGGGTGCTGCTAGTCAGGTGACCAGCTAGGCTAGACCAGTGGTTCTTAACGTGGGCGATAATGCTCCCCAGG